TGCTTCCCCTCATTAATTAGTTGTTGTGTTAACTCCAGACCCAGCTGAAGAGCCCACAAAAGAATTAAAGCTGGTGGAGGCGGGACAGGGGATACAGCTCAGTTGGTGGAGTACACAAGGCCCTAGGTTCAATCCCCAGCACAATAATAATAATAATAATAATAACAACAACAATAATAGTGATAGAGGGCATCTGTCTCTCCCTCACAGAGTCATTGATGAAAAATGGAGAATATTTTGAGTCAAGCAAAACCAAGATGTGACCTGGCCCATTTCAGGTTCTGACTCTCTTTGGTTTCTAGTTGAGTTGCCTTATGAACCTGACATCTTAGATTGCCCTGCCCCAAAAGGTTTAAGAGCATCAGTATGAGACAGTGACTCAGGGAGACAGTCTAATAAAGCTTCTGTCCCACTGGACATTACAACTAGTACCCAAAATATCTCTCTAAAAATTTCATCTTAAAAAACAAAAAACAAAGAGGTTCAAAGCACATATTCTCTCCCCACACTTCCTGAAACTAATGTTAGCAGACGAATGTTCCCTTAATGTTTACAAGATTTTTAAAGACGACTTCACTTACCCTTTGACATTGTGAAGATCTTTCCTTAAAAGATATACTTCATCTCAGTTAGAATTACCATGTCTTACCTACTTATATCCACACATAAATAAAAATTACATTAAGCTTAATATAATGCCCTTTTCTAAAGAGAGTTTAACATTTGACACAACAATAATTCTTTGGAGATAATTTGTTTTTTAATCCCAAACTTTTGACAATTTTTTTTCCTCAAAATTAAAATATTGGTGCATTCATGGACTTTCTTGGTCAAAACATTAAGTAGTTAAATAACTGGCTTGTGAAGTAGAAATCATTTTCAAATTTCATTACCTTTCTTTCCTTTAAGGCTTCATTCAAGGTTATTCATAAATGAAATACAAAAATCAAATCCAAACCTCTTTAAAAAGCCATTTGAAAAAAGATCTGTATACTATTTACCTTCGATTTAAAGTTCTAGTATGCTTAAGGTTTGCTGAAGAAATCAATCTAACATTGGTGATAATCCTTTCATTTTTATTTTAAGTGTTAGAATATGAAAAACATCCTTAAATGGGAAGATTTCCAGTCAACTTTGAAGCCGTCACTGAAGACATGGAATTAATTTTGAAAGGCAGGATAAGAAGCACAGAGCCCAGCTTGCTTAATCATCTTTGAGTTCTATTTTTACTTCCATAATGTAAATTTTAAGTGTAACATCAAAAGATTTTTCACAATGACTAAAAACTAGATGTTCCCATGCATGAGCTGGTGCTGAGAGACTCACCTATACAGCCACCAATTAAAAAGAAAACTAGAGCCCGTCGTTAGGTGGAGACTGGCTCCCCAAGGAAGTGAGCATCACCCCAGGGGAACGGGTCCTGACCTGAGCAGGCTGGTCTCCCACACAGGGGCTGTGACACCTGACTAGTTCTCTGTTCTAACAGGTTCTTCATGTAAACATTCAGTAGGAGCACTCCTGCACACACGACTGTGAGCACAAAGCACTTCTAACAACCCGACGACGGGAACTATCAAACAGCCAAATTCTTTCACTGTGAAGCAAGACTTCCTTTAAGGCTTCATTCAAGGTTATTCATAAATGAAATACAAAAATCAAATCCAAACCTCTGTAAAAAGCATCTCAGTTACACTGGAAAGTATGACTTTCCAGATTCCACATCAAGCGTGGCATGGGTGCCAAAAACTCCTGTACCAAAATTCTAGCAAGAGATAAGAAACTAACCCTTCAGTTACCTAGTCACACATCTTTATTTAAATGCACATATCTTATGCTCAGAAAGTTTTCTAGGCATACTATGAAAATCAAGAAAATCGATTGCAAGCATACTTCTTTTAAAGTAATTTTTCTAGGCCCTCAAATCTAATTTTCATTAAATCTGACACTTAAAAATATAATCTAGAGCATAAAATTTCATAAAACAGACAATTTCCCTTTGGAGTTTCATTTATTTACTTTACCATTCAAATTTAAAATATAATTAAATTTTTTTTT